GAAAATTAATTACAAAATTCTGAAATTTGTTGTGATTATGTACAATAATTAACGGATGCATTAAATTTTTTTTATATTTTAATACCATGTGGAAAATCTTAAGAGGCCATCCCTAAACAATTATGAAAGTTCAAAGCCTAAATTATGACATTTTTACTTCCAAATTTCAACTTCTAAAAGTATGGTTTATTTCCTGTCTTACCCTTTCCTTCTTCCCAAAGTTTTTCCATTCAAAATTTGTTATATACGTCGGCTATTGTTGTAAGTCTGGAGATGAGAGGAATATCTCTATCATTCAACATTTTACAATCTGTATGTCATACCAGATTCTAAAAGACTGCATTTCATCTGCTCTAAACTGACCCGAGGTTTCACACTATGTGTATTACAGATTGTATCATCTCCTTAGTGGCGATACAAACAGTGCTAGAATACGCCCCGCTGTCCTCCTAGGAATACTCCTAATTAACAATTTTTTAAAATTAGGTGTGTGTGTGTGTGTGTGTGGTGTGTGATTATGGCAAAGCCTCGAGGGCTATCTGCCTAAGGGGAGGGATGCCTTCGTGGAGGACTTTCTAAGGGAAACTGGCTCGTATACCACGTTACACATGGGGAAAACCACGAAAACACCCATGCAGCCAGCCCGTTCGCGGGATTCGAACCTCGGACCGAACTACCAGTGTTCAGCGACTTTACCGCTCGGCCGCTGGTGGGCTAAAATTAGGTGAGTCAGCTATGATCACGAACTTAACAAGTGTATTATTTTTTACCAGTCACATTCCTCTGACCATAGTTTCAGCAGAAAGTGCTACTACACACACACACACACCAACACATTACACACATTTAATTATTTTATAGCTAAAATTATTATTGTGGGGTAATTTAAATATCCTGTTTACTAAATTTTTAGGATATAACTTGAGGATACAAATTATTCTACTTATCATGAATTTTAAATTTTGTGCATTTCCTTTAATTATTACAAGTACATATTATAAGGAATTTAATGGTCATAAAAGTAAATAAAAACTTTGATTTTTTTTAATACAGTGTTAAACGCCAGTTACTTTGTGCGATTAAATTATTTTATGAATACTGTATTTAATCATTCTACATCCATCCGCGCCGCCCAACCGGTATAGTGGTTAGCGTCACTGACTGCCGTGCCGAAGGGCCCGGGTTTGAATAAAAGGCATGGATGTTTCTAAATGTATATTGTCCGTGCTATATGGGAACACTCTGAATATGCGGTGAGCCGAAAGTCCTCTCAAGAGGTTGATGGTAGGGGAAGAAAGATAAGAGACCCTTGGACCTGTCGTCCCCCGGGGTGCTCTCTATAAAAATTGGTGGAGTGGAACTGAGCTAAATCGTTTTGTCACCTGTAAGGTGCTCAAGGCTGTTGCCAAACAACGTGTATCTTGCGCTCCTTGCCAGGAGGAATTTCGTCGACTTCGGCTAACTATAGGTCAGACAACTGAGCATTAGTCAACAACAACAGCCATCAGCAAGTAGTTAACGCTCATTCCCTTGTAAAGGACCCGCCCCTTTTCATCAACGTGTACTTATTATTGTACTGTATTTTCTTAATTTTCGTGTATTAATTATTATATTGCTTTACAATTAGAACACGTGATTTTGTTTTATAATGCTTAAATAAGTACTAATTTTACTAGGATGGAAATCCAGTTTTTAAATAATCTTATTGTTCTGACAGATTTAACATCCCATCTAAAATGCTGAAATTTTTGTCAGCAGCTGAAAGAAGAAAATGACACAAATTTTAGTTTGTTTCATCAAATAATTACTGATATCAAGAAAGAGTTCCAGGACAGATTCTAGGATTTTGACTCCCTAAAAACAAAACTTTTCATTGTTAAACAACCGCATGGAGATTGAAGTAAGTGAGGTGCCTTGCGACCTTCAAATGGAAATTTATGATCTTCAGGCGGATCCATTCTACCAGACTAAAAAGTGTGATGTCACTAAACATAAGCTGATTTCCAAAGAAAGTTTTCCCAAACTACATAAATTCTCTTTGGAAATGCTAAATGCTATCGCTGTTTGGCAGTACATATGTGTGTGAAAGTGCTTTTTCTGCTCTCAAAAAAAAATTAAATCAAAACCGAGAAATCGCATTGAAAGTGCTTCACTGAAATCCAGCCTGAGATTTTGCCTTACTGAAATTATAATGGATATTGATAAACTTGTATCAAAAAAGCAGTTACAATCATCACATTGATTTCTAGACTGTAAAATAAAGTGGTATATTAAACTAGTGTATGTAATTCATTTTCTTTCCTTTAATGTCTGTGGCCCTCACTCTCCTATACTAACGTTTGATTGGCCCTCGGGTAACTAAAAGTTGGGCCACACTGTTCTAAACCCTTTATATTCTCTTATACTTTGATGCGTCGAGTTCTGGCTTTATTTTCGAATTCTTTTGGTGTTTTCCTTTCTCTTATGTTTTAATATATAAAGTTCCAGCTGTTCCAAAAATTTAAAAAAAAGTTTTATTATTATTTACTACATTTATATCCATCTATCTGCATAAATTAGAAAGCAGTACAAATGCATAAATATAAAATCTGTTCAAGCCCGCAACTTGTTGCAAAATTAATGTGAAAAAATATAAGAGAGAAAATTTATGTGAATTTTTACCTTTTGACAATGTATACTTGTCTAATCCTAAAACAAAATGCATAAATCATGGAAATGGAATTAAAATATCTTAATACGCAATCAAGGCTATTAACAAATTCACGGAAACAAATGAAAGAATGAATAGGGACAATTTAACAAAACATATCGTGAAACTCTTAGATTTTCTGAATAATTTAAACTTCATGTGGTTCAAATTGGTCTTTTAATTACAGTATAAGCCACCATTTTTTAATTTTTTAGAACTAAGTGAATTTTTTAAACGAAAAAGGGATATTCTTATGCTGAAATATTAGTGCCATAAAATACAATGCTCATTTCAACTAGAAAGAGGATGTTTTAGTGCGTGCAATAATATTCAAAATTAAGTACACACACACAAAAGAGTAACTTAAAGTAGTACTTTATATATGATTCGAAGATAGATGTATGCCTGATTACCGTTGAAGTCGATAAGATTTTCTTCAAAATTCTATACCAATCTAAGGTTGCTTCTTTGCCTAATTTTTAAATTTTACATCCGCGTGTTTCTCTTCCAATTAGAGCAAGGTATTACCGTTATAATAGTAAAATTTAAAGAATGAATTTTATCTATTATCCAGCTTGGGGTAATTTCAAAAATAAAAAATACTGGAACCTAAGGGAGGCCATTGGCAAAGGTGAACAAAATAAATAAATAATAATAATAAACAGCTTGTAGAGTAATTAGGATTTTTTATGCTGAAGACGTGAAAAATGAGCAATGCCCTCGCCGGCACTCGAACCACGGATCTCTCGAATACGCGTCGAGTGTGCTGTTCACTACACCACGAAGGCATGCTTAAGAAGACGGAAGAAATACATAATAAGCTAAAAACAAATAATACATGAAGATCTAAGTAAAAAAATGAATTAACGACAAATAATTAAAATGTCGCATCTATCAGGTAACTATCGGAAGTGTCACACTGACTTTAAATTACGTTATGAAATGGAAAATTTAACATTATTTCACTTTCCACGTAACCATATTTCATAAGTTTTCCTCTGCCAGCTTTTATAATGTAAGTTTGGAAATTACTATTAAAAATCAGTAATGAAATGTTATACTATAATCATGGACTTATGATGATATTAAAGACATCAAGTGCTCTCTTCGAAAGAAATATTTGTACATACACTAATATCATTTTTGCACATTTTATACTTGTTTAAATACTGAAAATTTGGTTCAATGTTTATTTTTAGTTTATTGTTTCTACGGCAACCTTCTAATGGATTTCAATTTCATAGTGAGTTTGTATATTTAAATTGATCACTTATTATAACTAAAGTATGTTACATTGTGTATATATCAGTATGCAATAAAAGAATAATATAGTTAAAGTACGAAACAAAATTCTGAAGAATACTCATTACCACTAATGTGTCTTCGCATATTATTAATAACTTTAAAGAGAGTAATCAGAATGGTAATTTTTCCGAAATGTTTTATTCACAAAACATTTGTTGTTATTTGTGTTTTCAAGTTAAACATGTCAGCTTCTTTGGTTTATATAGCTGTATTAAATGATTTTTACCTGACAGATATAGAACTAACAGAATTGTAACTCGAAGATTTGCAGAATTAAAGTAAATATTTATGATTGAAAGTTCACCTACTTTTGTGATAATTTAGAGCTGCATTTTTTAATTACTAAGCAAAATGATTGTGACTACTGTATTTGCTATGGAAAATAATTTTCCTAAGAACTAGTGACAATCAAGCTAGTAACTGCTTTTAGAGAAAAATGTGGATACTTCAAAATGTGGATCTTGCAGTAATATTAATTCAAAGGTTTTTTATGATTTAATGTAGAAAAAACGTTTTAAAATTAGCAATAATAATATAATTATTATAAACGTAGTGACGATTGGTATGTAGATATATATCTTTTCTTTTAATGGTTCGGAATTTTATTATTTTAACAAATAGCTACTTTAATTAACTTCTTACTTTTTTATGTTTCTTAAGCTGATATTTCTAATTTAAATTTCTAAATGAGGTCATAATTAAATTTTTGAAATTTAATTCTTGATGCGGCAAGCGCAGTTCCTACAACTCATGTATAAAAAGGCTCTAGGAAGATTAAAATTAAATTTTCTCATTTATTTTAATCTGTGCGCACTGGAATTATAAAATCAACGAGACTATAAATCTAAGTAAGCACAATGAACTCCTATTCTAAATGAATCTCGGTCGTCATCATGTGATACATTCTTAGTCGTAACTACAGTATACTTTTCCAATATAATTATTTTTTATCGCACATCAAGCATCATTGTAACAACATAACTACGTAAAAAGAATCCAATACAAATAAACTTATCAAACATCCACACTTTATTTCAAATTCACATACAACTTATGCACATGATGAAACTTAAGCAGTAACAAAGAGAACTTCTGAATTTATACAAAAATTGACTGATATTTAAAAACGTGCAGCATATCTATCAATGATGATAATGTACTTTCTTTATATGACATTTGTAATAATATGAGAGATGATTAACCATGGAACGATATAAGATGACACTAGAAAGCATGCAAATAATTACTTATTAATCACAAGAAAATTCTGTTTAATGAATGTCTTACAATGGAAAAATCTGCTATCATATTTATGCATTTCTAAACATTAAAATGAAATCTGGAGATAATAAGTTAACTTATGACAACATAGGACAAAATCAAATTTGACTTTTAATTCCCAATCTTGATTTCAATGACTGATTGACAGTACATCTGGTTTTTAATGCATACATTCTTATTATTATCACTAGAGTAACTTGAATTTTATTCGCAATAATTAAAAAAAATAACACTTTTTAGTCGCAGGTTTGGGAACTCTGGTTTAAAATGTCAAACAACAAGTAATTCGAACATGAAAAACACTAACATGACATTTTCAAAATGTATTAAAAATATTCACATGAAACTCCAGTTAGGAGATAAATATGTATGAGAATTTACGATATTTTTTTTTTTTTAAATCTGTTTACAAGGCAAACCCAAGATTCTTCAAAATATACGAATCTGGTTTACACATGTGGCAGTGTGAAGACCTGAGAAGTACAAAAATAATAATAATAATAATAAATAAATAAATAAAAAAAATATAAAAAAATATAAAAAGTTATCCTGAGAGGGTAATTTGAGTTCACATACTGCGCGTTTGTATTTACATGCTATCAAACATTTGATGGTATGAAATATTACATAATTAATCTCAGATGCATTATATAATTCTCTTCTGAAAACTGCTTTAACTTTCAACAACATATTGAAAGATTTATTATCACATTTGAAATGAAAACACATTGAAAATTTTTTACTATGTGTGAAAATTCTAGAACGCTTTAGAAAAAAGTTATAAAATATTCGTACAAATTATGTAATTTACATATGTTTTTGCACTTCCTATATAAAATTATATTATTTATCTTCTTCATAAATTTTAGAAAATGTAACATATTTTTTATGCATTCTGCTAAACATGTAATGTAAAATAAAGCATAATGTAATACATTTTGAGGAAATAATGCATTCATTAACAAATAACAGTTTCCAAAATCGATTTATCAGTAGAAATTATTATATAATGCAAAACTGAAAACTTTAGAAATCTATCAGTAAGAAAGCTAAATAAAATACATACAGATTAGCATACAAAAAATCAATTAATAAATGAATGAAATGATTAATTAATGGTAGAATCCTTACGGTGTATTATAATTTTAAAATAATTGAATACCTTGCTCAGTAGAAATGATACATACTATCGAATTTTCTTGAATATAAGAGGGCCTTACATATAATATGACCCTTCAACTTTAAAATATTTCACAACTAACAAAATTGCGTGAATGCATTATTAGCACATTAAATTTTTCTGTAATGGTACAAGTTACTAAATTACCTGTAAAATCTTTCAGTCACAAAGTACTTAAATTGAATGTTAATTTTTGCAATTTACCAGCAGTTTTTAACCGGTAATTTTTTAATAATTTTTCAAGAAATTCTGAGTTAATTTTATTTTTTTATTCTTTAACTAACATTTCCAAAATTTATAGATTTAAATTTCAAAAATATGAATTTAAAATATTTTCTAGGAAACTTTAAAAACAATGACAGGAAACTTTAAAAGATATAACATGCATGCACAGATCCTCAAATGGTGGATGTTTAGAGTCGCTGGAATTCAGACCTTTTTTTAAGTCTCAGCATTGTTGACATAATTACTATTACGACTACTAATAAAGTCAAAGCAGTAATGCTGAGCCCTATCATTGCATACTCAGCTGAAGGGACGCTAAGACGAGAACCCAAGAAATTGACCTCACGTGGATCATTTACTTCAGGACTAGCAGCTGTGAGGAGAGCAGCCACGGCGGGTGGGGGGCATTCTTGTTTCTCAGCAGCTGGGATTATTTCGTGCCAGAATTCAACCGACTTGTCATGGGAGCTTCTCTCTACACTGCTTTCTTCGCTGATTTTCATAATTTGGTGACCTTGAGAAGTGTACTGTGGCCAAAAACCTTCCATATCTTTGAAATTCGGATTTCTAATAAAGAAAAACAGATAATTAAATTCACAAAATCTTCTTTAGCGCAAACAACTTGTAAACATTATTACTGCTTACTAATGAATAACTTATTACTTATTGTTGCACAGAACAATGATAAGCTTTTAAAATGTAGATTTATATATGCTAATTTAACACCTTATTTGTCTAGCAACATGGTAGCACTTTGGCGCTCTGCTATTAGATTTGAGTTTCATCCAATCATCTAAATTATATCCTTTCTTTCAGTACGTACAAATATATCATTTACTATGCAATTTAAAAATTTTAAATATTAACATATTTTTAAAAAGTTTATATTTCGATTTGATGAAGGTCTCTTTTTAATTGTTTCATCGGAAAAGAAAACTATTTTCTGGAATTATGTCTGCAGTAATGCAAAAGTACAAAAGTCGTAAATCACGCTGTAGATGCAAAATGATCTAGTACACGCATTCATCATGTCCTCCTATTTATAGGGCCTGAATTATTGGTTTTCCATGATCAACGATATGTAAATGTATACCATGTTTCCCAAAATGTTGCTGTGTTTGAAAGATAAAAGAAACCAAATATGTCAATACCTGAGCAATACAGAAATATTTCCTTTTTAAAAACCTCCTCTTATAATTAACATGAAATAATTTATTGCATATAACATACTAACTTTTCTAAACTATATTTTCTTTTACACGAGATCTGCCATTCATCATTTAATATTTGTTCTAAAATATACTTAATAAATCATAAATTTAACGAATAAATTATAATTTGATCTTAAAATATATTTTAGCATTTTTAGTAAATTATAATAGTAATTAAGCATATTAAGTCGCCTAAGAATAGTAATTTAATTGATTTAATTTTAAAATTAATAAAGTAAACATTTTCTTTAACGTTCAATAAATGTTTTCAGCTTTTACAGATAAGATACTGTTTAATGATAATTTAATGTGCCTCTTAAACGTAGTTAATATTGTTATCATAGACGTTTTTAGATATTTTGTTACTTCAGGCGAAGGGAAAAATGCGCACTTGTATAAACCATCAAATTAACTGTATCTGTCTATACTCAGCATAATTATAAGTTTTCTGCAGTTTCTTTCACTTTAACATTAATATATGGGAACGTTAAAAATATTCGTAATGTTGTTTTCAAATTCAGATGTGACTAAACTTAACTGCATTTTTGAATTATATTTAAGCTATTATATAACTTATTTTACATTAGCTACCAGAACGGTTTACGTAGCATGGTTTTCATAACTAATTATTTCTGATGGAATATCAGAAACATTTATATCATTTGGATATTTAAATTCCAAACTGCTCATTTTCAAAATAAATAGCCATTGACATTAATTTTTTTATCAGTTAGAAACTGGAAATCGGATGTTGCCTTATTTAATTAATAATATCTCTGTTTTAGTTGTGAAATTAAAACGTTTCTTATTTCTTTCATTTCAAAATACAGGTCAAGCCAAGTGTATCATTTCTTAAAAAAAAGTGTGACCAGTTATTTATGCTTTATTTGATGCAACTTTATGTTTAAATTAAAAGTTTTACAGAGGTGATAGAGCACAAAGGTTTTATTTAGTGTAAAATATTAAGTTTAAATCATAAGCAACGTTATTACATGTATTAGCAATACTTACTAATTACGTGTAGTAATTAGTAGTATACTTACTAACTACGTGTAATTACAGTTCATTATTTATTAACAACAAGCAATAGTAATTAAATTAAAATTCTGTTTAAAATTTACTGATATGTGCAGTTAATTATTAATTAACAAAATTCAGTAGCGATTAAATTTAAATTCTATTTAAATCTAATAAATTCAAGACATATTTTATTTACAGAAGCATATTAGAAAACATTTATTCATGTAAAAAATCTTTCAGCATTTTGCGATTTATTTTCTTAATTTACATCGTTTACCTAATCCTAGTTGCTTTTACCGCTAGATTTTTAACTTTGAAAGGCCTAATTTTCAGATACATTTATATATGGTACATGCCTTATTGATTATTGAATATAATATATATAATGCTGAATATACATTGAATTAAGCATATTTTTCCCCTTAATTAAATTTTCATTGAAAAGTTTTAATACCATAAAAATTTTAATATGCCTGAGTAATTGCAGTTGCATTTTATTATTATTATATCCAATTCAAATAATATGCAAATGAAGGATATATATATGTATAACAGATAGATAGAAGCATATATATTAGACAGAAGCATATTTTTTCTATTTTGATATTTTGATATTAAATAATATAAAAAATAAGTTTCAGTTTTTATTTAATTTTTCTCAATATTCTTCAGCCAAAATTATTTTCCTCTGGGAAATCAAAGAAAGATTGTTTTCTATTTTTAAATATACTTCAGATTTCGAACATTTATAAATGCTAATATGATATTATTTCCGTGTTCTATATAAAAATTATCACATCTAGACTGTCTCACAAGTAAGACTTATCTGTTGCAGCTCTAAAGTTCCGAATTTTTATTCTCATTAAAAACTGCCATCAATTCTTTCCTACAAAGTTTTGTTTTTATTTATAACTGTTGCAATACTGACTTCAAGAAGTATTATGACCGAGACTCAATAAGTAATCATAATATTTGTTTTATATTAAAAATAAATATATATGAACTACACTTCTGATATTGTAAATTTCTATTACAATATACTCGATTTTCCCTTAATAATGAAGGTTTCAATATTTGAATTTTGTCACGCATGATGCATTACATTATTTGGAATCATAAATATGCAAAACTTTTATGGGAACATTCTGCAATGCATCATACGTAAGAGTGTTTCACGTATGAAACAATATGTAATGTTTCTATAACAATTTTACTTATTTGCGATACTAAATTTATATAAAATTTTAAATACAGTGATACCTCGGTACTCTTTGAAATGCATCCAGTTGGGTATACGTCCTGTTTGGAGATGAAAAGTTTTGTTTGATACACGATATTTATTTGGAATATGAATGAGTCATGACTGCACCTACTGTCATGACTGTTTACCTCTTTCAAGACAATGCTTCGACTGCTGATGAATATCAGTACGCTCGTTGCTACTATTCAGTAAACAATCCGCCCTATAACTATGAGTTTTTAGGTGAATTTTTAAGTGACGGTTTAAGTTCTTAAGTGACGGTATTAAAACATGAGTTCTAATCAGTAATTATGTTTAATAGTATCGTAATATTTAATTATTCAGCATCATTGTTAACTAAATACTTAACATAATTTTCATTTAGATTTAAAATCTAAATTTTTAGGATTTTGTTGAAGTTTAATTTGTGTGTTAATTTCAGATGTGTTCAGTTTCATTATAAATACAACAAAACAAATTAAAAGTCCTTTTCCATATTATGAACACTCTGTGAAGAATGAATGATTTTAATTACTGATATAACTTTTTGTAACTCATATTAGTTATAAAAGACATTTGTCCTTGACCGAGTGTTATTCACACGCTTTTTTATAACCGATATTAACACTCACTCGAGAATTAAATACTTCGAATGCAACTTTAAGTCATTAATTTTATAACATAATGTAATGAACTAGTGTATGATACAAAATACTATGAAAGTAGACAACATCCTATGATATAAATTGTGTTAACATTCAGTTTATAATAACGCATGCTTAATATTAAATGCAGATCAATTTGATTATGAATCAATATTATATAAATGAAATTTCGAGAGCTAAGTCTCCCAATTAACAGAGAGACTGAATTTTTAAACTACTAAAGATATAACTAATTATCTTTAATTTCCATTTATTCGAAACTACACTTACAAATTCTTTAAAATATTGCACATAAGGACTAATACAATAGCTGTATTACATGAATAGAAACCGAAATGTTTGCTTATTTAGCCATTCTGCGGTAAAATTATTCGCCAAGCTGACATTAAATTATTAATGAAAATAAAAAAAGCTTTAAACAACATTTGAAAATCAATTCTCATTCATCAACTTAAGTACTAAGTAATAAAAATGCTTTTATTTCAGTTGTAAAAGAACTATTAAGTTATAGGATCAAAACGTTTCGTTAAGATTTTGTTCAAAATAAAGAATGCCATGACGCTTAATGTAACTGGCTATGAATCTGAATTGGGTTTGTATGAAAAAGCTTTAAGACTTACCCATTGCGAGCGAAGTTGACAATCATTTTCATCATGTGATGCGTGAGTCTCAGTTCTCCCTCCGACAGATTTTCCAGCTGGAGAGGAAGGCCCATGGTAAATAAGACGTCATCTCCATGCCCGGCACGAATAAACTGAGGGTGGATAGAGAAAGAGGGCCTGTGAGTGAATTCGTATACAAAAGCCTTCTGATTCTTTTCGGCAAGTAGATCAGCCAGTTTCATCACATGAGCTGTAACATGCATATCGCCGCAGAAATCTACAAACTGTTCTCTCAGTCTGGAAAGTTCAGGAGTCTTGTAGTTGTAGATGGTAAGCTTATTCATTAAAGCGTCATTTACTTTGTATACATCTAGCATATTGCTCACTAATATATCTTTGAAATCTTTTGAAGTGAGAGTTGCATCTACAAGTTTATTATATAAAGGTGATTTCATTGCATCGAGAGCAATGGTACAAAGAGTTCCCTCGTCGTTTGTGATTCCAAGGAGAACGTCGATAGCTTCATAATCTCCTTTACGTACTGCTTTCAGAGTGTTTTGAAAAATCAGTTCGAAATCGTAGCTTGGTCTCCACGGGTGGGAAACTAAATTAGCAGAACTGAGAAGAATATCTGCTGGTACCTTTTGCAAGCAATGTATGACATGTGTAACATTTTCAGAAAAGCAGTTTGTACCTTTTGCCAAAGCAAAAGTTGCATTCAAAGGGTTACGTTCGAAAATCCATTCACCAACGGGAACTCCGCTCTGCAGTATAACTCTATTAAATAATTTCTCTACTTTACTAAGGGGGGAAAATGCATGTATCGCAGCGCTCATAGCACCAGTAAATCGACCAAATAAAGTTACACTTTCTGGGTTACCACCAAAATGAGCAATATTTTTCTTTACCCACTTCAGGGCCATCCTTTGATCGAAAAGTCCAGCATTACCCGGGGCTTCAGCCGATAATCCATGCAGAAAACCAAAAGCTCCTACCCTGTAGTTCACAGTAACAACAATTACTTTTCCTACTGCTGCCAAGTAACTTGCATCAAATTGTTGTGGGTCAGCAAAATTAAAACCTTCTCCCGTCAACCAAACCATAACTGGCAATGGGAGCTCAGATTGACTCACATCAGGAACATACACATTAAGGTATAGGCAATTCTCACTAATTTCTGCTCTGTTAGGCTTCAGCAATGGGCTAATAACAGATTCTAAGTGCGGTGATTGATAACAAGAAGGACCAAATCGAGTAGCATCACGTTCAATACCTTCAGAAAAAATTTCAATTGGTCTCTTAAATCTTAAATTACCTATAGGAGGTTCAGCGTATGGGATTCCAAGAAAAAGTTTTAATGATTTGCTTAGAGCTTCAGATCGTTTACCATGCAAGATGCCAGTCGATGTTTGTACCGTTAAGTCATCCGCGATACTCATTCCAAAAATACAGCCAACTACAAAAAAGGCTATTAGAAGCTTCGAAATCATGGCTCAAAAACTATGCTGCAGTATTTCAAACTTACAATGCTTGATTTCTTACCTATGACTTTAAAGAAAACTAAACCGAAAAGAAATAATTTGGAGTTCTAACTCGATGATTCTCTGGCTATAACTTAGAAGAAGACCCTTTCTCTACGGAGTTCTGAGCCTAAATGACCTGAACAGCTTGCTGCTTCAGTATTTCAATACCAACAGGATGAAATGCAGAAAGAAGACGGAGGAGGGGTAATACGACCTCAAAAACCAGTATCGTAGCGTCCGAAATGAAAAGCTGTAGAGAAGATACGCTCTCCAGAAGTTAGATTTAAACCAGTTCATCCGCCTCCTTTTATACTGTAAGATCGCGTTATCAAGTTTGCATCATAGGGTGTAGAGAGGCGGGAGAGAATCAAGAAGCTCTGCTCCAGTTATAACGCGAAGAATTCTCCAAATTTTGCCCCCGCCCATTTATCTCAAAGAATCAGCATCGGTTATTATTTTATTACATCATACTACGACGAACTCGTCTAACCAATCAGAATGTAAGAGAAGAAAGGTTTAACCAACCACCGCTGGAGAGAAAAAAAATCCAACCACAGATAAGAGAGGAGAAAGGGTTGCCAATCAAAATTCTCTTTGATTTTTGGCGAATTTTACTGACGCCATAATCAGTTTGATGGTAGAAGGGAGTATTTTTTTCTTCTCAGAATTTAGTCGCTGCCAGTGTCAGCCCGAGATCACGGGCTTTTCAAAAGAGTAATGTATGCTTTCAATCTTTAAAATTTAATATATCAAAGGTAATTTCGTATTAGCATTTTTTATTTACTTAAACGTAATTAAAAGTCTCTTTATGAACTCGAGAAGTCAATTTCATTTCTTTTTAAAAAGACTTTTTTTTTTAAGAAAAGCTCTCAGCAGCGGTGGTTAAAAATAAAATATTACTAAAGCAAAAATAGAGTTTTTAATCAAATTTTAGTTATTTTTTAATGAAATTAAAAACAGTGAACGTAAGTCAGAAATTTGCATCATTTGTATAAATATAAGAACGATATTTTCTTTCTTAAAATAACACTTCCGAAAACTATGCCAGTTTATATGCACAACCTTGCATTTAAAATATATGAAATTATTTTATTACTTGGCTGTTAAATTGGCGCTAAAACAGAAAATATTTATTTTGCTCTACGTCAGTGTACAGTATTTAGATTATTTAATTATCTTTCTTGTTGAATAGTTCTGACTTATTAAGTTCATATATGTGAGACCATCGTATACATTGAAGCCTTTTTCGTTTTTTTTTCATATTTAAAATTTTTTCAGTATTTAAAGGATGTCTTACATTTTCATAATAAGTTAGCAAAGGGTATTAAAAAAGGCTAGGGTAAATGTAAGCACTCTTCAGTGTTATTATTAATTTTTTTTCAGTATACGACAGTACATGATTCATATTAGTACACGTTGCTGATGAAAGGTAAGTGCATTTCAGCTCGATATATGCAATTTGAGTACTTTAATTTCCATAATTCTGTGTCTTTAATGTATTATACCGAGATGGAGGAAATGTAAGTATTTTTCAGTATAATTCGATTCCTTCCAATACAAATTAATCGAACGTTTTTCTTCGAATATTTTAGAATAATTACTGCTTTCAGAATTGATAAAAGATGGAATGTAGTTTTAGTTTTTAATCTCGGATCTAAAATTCCAAAATATACAAATTTGCTGAATATAATAGATGCATTTCGAATAGGATTCGGATTTTCTTTGAGTTATATTTTAAATGGCATATTAGATTAATCAACATTCCCAGGTCTGAGCCTTTTTGTTGATATATAGCTGAATTTGTTTTAACTTTAGATAAATGATTTACCTGCCATTCAGAAAGAGCTTCTTGCACTGTTAAAGTAATCTTCAACCACACATAATAAGCTTCCTTCGGAATTTATGTAATTAAAAGCTGTATTTAAAACGGAATGATTTAAACAACTTATACTTCACTTAAGGCGCGGCTGTGCATCGAAGTGAAATAAGAGTTCTTTTAGAAACGAAGAGCCGGGTCCAGGCTTTATTTGCGCGCCCGTGGAAACTATGTTTTATTTGAATCTATTGATTTGGAAAATTCAATGAAATGAATTTGTCGTATTTGGATATAACTTGAAGATGCACTTAATCGTTCTGTCCTGTCCAAAAATATAATCATAAATTTATTTTATTAACTTATTTTCTGAACAGTCTAGGTTAAATATTCTAAATCAGAGCTTGACTAACATAAAAAGTTTCTCAAATTAATCTTAAAACATTGTAATTCGTTACTGATTAGGATATATCTCCTAATGCTTTTATGAAAATAATTTCTCGATTAACGTTTATTATGCGAAAAGTTTGACATTTAAACATTATCTTAAAAACTGTGATAATTTTTTTGTGCTTAAAAGTAAATTAAATATTATATTAAATTAGAAACATTAGCGCGTAAAGCACTTTTACTGATAATAAATCATTAAATCTATATTACTACCTTTCATGATAGAACAAGCGCTATATATGTTATAAATAACGAAATAAAAAGAAAGTGTTAGTCGTATACCTATTTACAGTTTCAACTAGATTTTTGGATTGCTATTCCATGATAAATTTAAAAATTTGCCTTCGTACTTTGCCGTACTGAAGCATAAAAACTGTGCTGGATACTTTTAAGAAAGTTCAAAATGATAACTTGTATTGCAAAATTGTTTGTTTTAATTAATTTTTATCATTTGAACAATTCAAACTAAAACGTAATCATAGCACTATACAGATATTTTGATTTTTAAAACTATCGTATTTCAGTAATTATATGATAAAAATTAGCTTATTAAAAGGAAGAACAAATTTTTTAATAGCATTAATTTCTAAAATCAGTGACATTTATGAAAGTTAAATAATTTTATAATACTATTTGATTCCAGCTTTCTCTTTCATTAAAAATTTTAGCTACGCGTTGCAGCACAAATTCATATACCTCAGCTATTCCGAGTTTTTCTGTATTTATAAAGAAGGCCCTCAATTCAGCAACAACAGTTTTTGTTATAAATATCCGAATCAAGAAAAAGCCAAAGAATAGGAAATAATTTGTTTTCTTTGCGACTAATCTCTTCATGCAGCTAAACGCTTGACGATTTTCCTCAGACCTTCGCGCAGAAGGCGAATGTCGATATTCCCATGATTTCTGCTCTTGAAAAGAGAGCAAGTTACTGTTTATGCTGAAGTAGTTACGTCAGCAACCAACTGATGATATTATACTGTTCCACAATGCTACTGCTCCAGATGTCTGACTGAATGGCCAGCTTTTGGTTTAACTGTCTGCTTTCAACTATCTCAAAGAACTTTTCTTTTCATTCGCTGTCGGAAGGTCATTTTTACAACTCATCAAAAATGAAATTGGAGCGTGGTGCTTTCTTCCTTTTTTTTAGGGGCAAAATACACATTTACTCGTTTATTTTTCCTTCTCGCATATTCCCCGCCTCCCAGCTTTTTCTGTGTATCATTTAAACACTTTTAATTTATGTTAGCGACTGTCATTGTGTTAACCAAAAGCATTAAAAGTAAAAACAATAACTGAAATATAAAATGTAGTAATTTTAGTGTATCTGTCACAATGTGCTTTTTAATCCGCTAAATTCTTCCTTTAAAACTTTCCCTCAAAAATGCATAATTGAACCCCTTTCGAATTTTAAGAAATAAAATTAGTAAAAAAAAGGAGGGGCACATATATAATTTATTCCTCCACCTTCAGTTTATTGAACAACAAATGCTTTCCTTGGCTATTCTTGTTTCTTTTAAGTAAGTTTTAGTTCATGTCTCTGAAGTACAAAGTAAGTTTTAATTGATATGTCGTAGACAAAAAGTTAAAACTTCGGTTGATATCTGGCAGACAAAATGTATAAGGTAAGTTTTAGTTGATGAAAATAAAGATGTTAAAACCTGGTAAATACAATTTTCTAACTTTTGCAATGTCTCTTTATTTTATCTCTTTCTAAACACTTTCATTGTTAAAAAAAATTATAAACAATATTAATTAGCTTGTGATTTCCTACTTCCTTTGTTTTCTGTTACTATTTCTGACACATTCTAAGCTCATTATTTCTGACACCTTCCGAAATGAAACTGCACAACAAGAAAATACTTCCTCATTAATATGACATCTGACTGGGAATAAAGTGAAAAATTCAAATTGTTGACGTAATTCCGCTTTTTGGAATCTACCAACAAACATAGATAAATGAAAATAAGAGACAGAAATCTGAGAAATTTACCATTTTTTCCATTTTGTTTTACAGTTAACAGTAATAAAAATAATTTAAATGCACAAAATGGTTGAAAAAAAGAAACGCCTAATTTTTTTTTTTTTTTTTTCAAATGTGAGATAAATTTATTCAACAAACACAAATTTATTAAAGCACGCACCGAAGAGCCATTACATTATAACCACTCTCCATCTATTACAATGGGCTCGCCCAGGAACTAAACCACTGCGCGTGCGCAGCTGATGTTATAGTATATAAAGCGGCTATGCATTGGCCCTGTAGCTGTAATTAACTAGCCTTACAGCATTATCATCCTCTCTGCATTTGCAATCTATTACTGTTGCGCTGCAACTGCAGAAGCCACCCCCCAGAACAAACAGCACTGAAGCTATGAAAAAAAAAAAAAAAAAAAAAAAAAAAGGAAAGAAAGAAAAAAGAACAGACATAAAAGTAACGTCATCACTAAAGGAATCACTGTCTTGTGCACACTGCAAATTCTAAATGTGAAATCGAAGTTAAAAAGTTAGTTAAAAACAAAATTACTAAGAAGAGAAATGTACAAATTGCTTAAAAAATAGAAAGAGAGAGAGGGGTGCTGAGATTCGCTGGATTCTAAGTCAATTTTGCACAATGTGGTCTGGGTATAGCTACATGCCCTATGGTGTTATAAGGTATTTCTCCCGCTTTCCTAGCGTGCCTTCGTGGTGTAATGGTTCTGTACGCTGGGCCGGTATTCCAGAGGTCCGTGGTTCGAATCCCGGCGAAGGCGTTGCTAATTTTTCAATCTCTCTAGCTTTCAAAAATCCTAATATCTGTACAGTGGCACCCGAACTAAAAGGGTGTTGGATGGTGATTCTCCTCACCCAGGATTTGGCGATTGGTTCCCCTAAAAACCTCAGTGGCCCTTTAAAAGGGGGAATATATAAGCTATTTCTCCCGCCTTCCTAGCGTGCCTTCGTGGTGTAGTGGTTCTGCACGCTGGGCCGGTATTCCAGAGGTCCGTGGTTCGATTCCCGGCGAAGGCGTTGCTAATT